TTTTTTTTTTTTTTGGTATTTAGGACAAGGTGCATGGGGTGTACAGGATGTACAGGGTCTCACTGCATAGATTGGATTTGTAGTTATCCTCCTGTTTACAGCCTCCCCAGTGCTAGGATTACAGGCGTGCGATACCACGTCCAGTCTCAACTGCTCACTCAGCACACCCGCGGGCCGGGGGTGGGGGGTGGCAGGACCAGCACAGCAGGCCCGGGGAACGAACCCCTGGCCCCTGCATCTGCCTAAGCAGGTGATTTTTTTTTTTTTGCTTTACAACGTACTTTTATTTCATCACTGTCTCTTTTAGTGAGTATTAGTTTCAAGCACCATTTGTTCTTGTCACATAAAATAATAAATTTGTACATTTAGAATTGCATACTCTTCATGCTTTTTGTCAGCAAATTAAAACCTCCTATTGGATTAATGAAAATAGTTAATAGTATATGTTCTGCTGAGGTACTTAAGAAGAGACCTGAATTTTAATAAATTGCAAAGTGGTCGAAGTGGTTGTATGTATATCTGAGACTGACATGAGAATTGGAACCTGAATGATGACATCAAGCTGCACATGTGGAAATATGTCATAGTGGAGAGCAGATTATTTAATGCATTAAAGAAGAGAAGGAATGGTAAAGTTTAAAAAGAGGACAGGGCAGGGATAACATGAAGAATACATACTCTGGGCTGCGGATATAGCTCAGCAGTCTAAGCACATGCCTAGCAAGCACAAGGACCCGGGTTCAATCCCAGGTGCCATATGCTGAGCTAGCCCTGGAACCCTGGGCACACCATGCCAGCCCTGAAACCAGGCATGGTGACACACGCCCTAAGCGCTTTAATCCAAGACAGTGATTGAGACTAGGCCTGGTGGCACATACCTGCAATCCCAGCACTTGGGAGGCTGAAAACAGGAGGTTCACTATGAGTCCGATCTGTGTAATGAGACCCTGTAGACCCTGTAAACTCTACTAAATACATTAAAATAATAATAATATATATTTTTCTTTTTTTGGTGGTAGTAGGAATAGAACCTCAGTGTCTTTGCACTGGGATATATCCCCAGCCCTTCCTATGTTTTATTTTGAGACAGAGTCTTGCTAAGTCACTAGATTGTTCAGGCTGGGCTTGAACTTGAAGACCTCCAGGCTCAGCCTCCCAAAGTGCTAGCTTTACAGGTATGTGCCAAAACCACTCATTTTTTTCCAGGTAGGTTTTTGTTGTTGTTGTTTGATTTTTGGTGAGTTTTTTTGGTACTAGGAATTGAACTCAGGACCTCATGTTTGCTAGGTAGGCACTGCACAACTGAGCTAAACCTCTGGCCCTATTTCTCAGTTTTGTTCTGTTTTGAGACAGGGCCTCACAGTGTAGCTCTGCTGCAGCCTCCGGAGTGCCTGGCTGACAGGCACACACTGCCAGCACTCCTTACAGCAGTTCCCCTGAGCCTGTCCCAACACTTTCCCTCCCCCACCTGAGCAGCACCATCTCCTCTCCAGACAGGGTCTAAGGTCCACAGGGAGGATCCAGTTAGCCTTACAAGCATAACCTGAGTCCAGGCGCTCTTCTCTAACACTTACAGGTGCAGAGATGAGCAAAGCTACACAGCAGAAAGAGAGCAACCCTTGGTCCCTTAGCGTGTGGCACCCGGGCTGTGCTCAGAACCCTGCAGCTGCCAGCGGTGAGATGACAAGGACTATCGATAGGAAGGGTATGGATGTCACCTATCACTAGGTCATGTCTTTGATCCATGAGGGGCGATCCCAGTACACTGTGCGTGTTTGTTTTGTTTTTTTTTTTTTTTTTTTTTTTTTTTTTTTGTTTTTGTTTTTTGGCAGAACTGGGGATTGAACTCAGGCCCTTGCGCTTGCCAGGGAAGTTCTTATTCCATGGAGCCATCTCCCCGGCTCCCCTGTGTGTGTTTAAATTAAAGAAAAATATTACTGTAACAAGACATCTGGCTGTAAATCCCCCTCAGAATCCTCTCCTGGCTTCAAACACACTTGTCCCATGGTTCTTGCTGCCTGCTGCTGCAGTTCTGGAGCCCTCTTGCCTAATGGTCTTCCTAAATTGTGACACAAAACACGATGAGGGGTGGGGAGATAGCTTGGCAGCAAAAGCTTTGCCTGGGAAGCACAAGGACCTGAGTTCGATCCCCAGTACCACATACCATACCAGCATGCTGTGTGGCCCTGAAACCGAGTTTGGTGGTGCACGCCTATAATCCCCGCACTGGGGAGGCTAAGACAGGAGGATCACTATGAGTCTGAACTGTGTAGCAAGACCTTGCATCCAATTAAAAAAAAAACACCACAGTAAGTGCTGCTGCCAAGCAATCGTTTGGAGAGGCAGATCAGAAAAACTTTGCGGTGTCCCCACCCACTCTGTTCACTGGATCTGGTACTGTGTGACTCCTGGCTCTTCCCAAAGGCAAAATGACAGGGAAGAGCGAACATTCTGAATGGATTCAGGTGATCACAGCAGTCATGATGGTGCAAATAAAGACACGGGGGGAGAGGCCTCGAGAGCCACTGCAGCAAGTGGCAGGGATGACCGGCTCGCTGTGCTCGGAACCAGGGTGGAGATTGTGAAGGGGCTTTGCAGCAATGTGTCCTCTACCATAATCATTTCTTAAATTTTTAAAAATTATTTATTTATGTTTTTATTTGGTACAAGGTCTCACTATTTAGCTTGGACTCATAGGGCTCCTCCTGTTTCCAGCCTCCTCAGTGCTGGGATTACAACGTGCACCACCACACCCAGTTTCGGTGGCCAGCACAGCAGGATAGCATGCAGTACTGGGAATTGAACCCAGGACCTTGCACTTGCCAGGCAGGCACTTAGACTACCAGGCTATCTTCCCAGACCCATAATAATTTTTTTTTTGTGGAACCAGAGATTAAACTCAGGCCCTTGCACTTGCCAGGGAAGCACTTATTCCACTGAGCCATCTCCCCGGCCCCTAACCATAATAATTATTTTAAATGTAAGCGCTCACCCTACTCCTTTACCATGCCTCTATGCTACCAAACACACCTCAGTGAGCAGCTGGCCCAGGCACATGTGACAGGAAGCATACTGGGACACATGGATCAGCAGTGACAAATGACTTTTAAACACTTCTGCAAATCACCTCATTAACCCAGCCAAAGTATCTGTTTTTTTAAAACTTCCTAACAATCTAATCTCACTAGAAACTAGAAGCTGCTGTTCGGTATCAGTGCTGGGATAAGAGAAAAGAAAGCAAAAGCAGTTTTTCCAGCCCAGACTTGCTCTGCCTTATCCTCACTCCTTCCAGCCCGCTCTCAGCTTTTCCACTTCACCACTCTGCACATCAATGCCCAGAATGTGACCAGAGCCCATAACTGGGCTGTCAACACCACTTCCTAGTGGCCTCTCCACTCTGCCTTCCAAACTCTGCTTTTCTTTAACAGGAAATCAGAACCTATGTCTTAGTCAAGCCCTTCTCTTTAATATGAGGAAATGAAGAGGGGGTTTTGTTTGGGGGTTTTTTTTTGGGGGGAAGGGGGTATGGTCTCACTGTGTAGCCCAGGCTGGCCTTGGAATTACAGAGGTCCTGCTGCCTTGACCTCCATCAATCCCAGGATTCCAAGCAGTGCCTCACTGCTCCTGGCTGAGAAGTTCTCCTTCACCTCTCTGGGATTCACAAAGCATAGCCTGATCCACTGTCAAATATGAGTCCCCAGTTTCTGTTAGGCCTTCAAACTAAGAATGATTTTTACACTTCCAAATGGCTGAAAAACTTCCAGTGATACAGAAAAGTGCAGGGCATTCCATTTCAGTGGCCATGAATAAAGTTTCACTGGAACACAGCCATGGTCATTTGCTTACTAGCCTTCACTGAAAGTTTCCTAAGCCAGGCATGGTGGCGCACACCTGCCATCCCAACACTTGGGAGGCTGAGGCAGGAGGATCACAGTGAGTTCAAGGCCATCCTGGGCTATACAGTGAGTTTAAGGCCAGCCTAAAGTACATAGTGGGACTCTATCTCAAAAGAGAGACACACACAGAGAGACACAGAGAGACAGAGAAACAAGAGAGAGAATAACAAGAGTGTTCTGGCCCCTAACTTAGCCAGTAAGGCCAGATACTGGGGGAAAGAGCACTTATTTCCAAGCTGACATGCTAATGCATGCCAAGCACACATGAGTCTACATGGCAGGTACAGGCTTACTGGGCAACACCCAAAGGACATGTGCAGTGGAGCCCTGAAGCATGGGCTCCTCCATCCTCCCTACAGAAAGTGGAGAGAAGACCACACTACGGGCAAGGCTAGGAAAGCCGGAGCCCTAGCACTGTGAGTGTCACTGTAACCGACCCCTTCTTTCAAACCCTTCCACAGAGCTATCAGTCTTAATAGTGTCCTTACCCTTCTGCCTAATCACCCAAGTCCTGGAAACCTATCCAAAGGGACAGTGCCAGGATGCCTGAGTCAGCAATTTTCTAATAATATATCAGAACCAACCTGAAATGCTTCTGAATAGGAAAGGAGTTAGCACATGAGTTCCACTAAACTCAATATCCATTAAATCCTATATACCCAGAGCCCAGCAGAATGGTGTTCACATTCCCAGCTAACCCAGAGGCAGAGGCAGGAGGAGTTCTTGCACCTGCAAATTTAAGGCTAACCCTGGTCTCAACAAAAAAGAGAAGAGAAATAGTATGAGCCCAAATAATAGACATGAAGAGCAGATAGGTGAAGAAGTTAGGCTATGATGAAAGACTACAGGCCAGCTATGGTTCCATATGCCTGTCATCGCAGCACTTGGATCACTGTGCTACATAGTGGTCCAAGGACAGCCTAAACTACATAGTAAGGCCTTATCTCAAAAAATAAAAAAGAGTATGTTCTGAAACTGTGGGGATGGCAGCACAACTCTGAATCTGACAAAAACCAGGCAACTGTATACTAGTAAGAACTGAGTCCTGTGGCATGTGAATTATATCGCTAAAGCTATTTAAAAGCATGTCTTAAATAAGCTCTGGTACTGTGTTTAAAATTCATAGAAAAGCATCAGCACTACTTTTGTCTACTGTAAGTAAAAATAAATCTTACATTTGTCTTATTTCCAAGGTCTTTAGATATGTTGAACACAATGCTCTTGAAAAAGCTTAGCACAATTATCTCCGAATCTTTTCCAGCAGATATAATTTTAAAACATTAATTTTTTTCACTAACTGCTTTTGTGACTTAGGCAATTATCTGAACAGTTTCAGAGTATTTGAAAACATCAGAAAGCCAAACTCATTGTTGCGCACAGGACAAGAGGAAGACTTGTGTCTGGGCGTGGCGGCAGCCTTGGGGAGGGGCACGCTCCCTCCAGGGGGCTCCTACCCACACACTGTCTTTAAAGGAGAAACTCACACTCCACATCTTGCTCTTCCCTGAGTCAAGAGTCTCCCAAGATATTCTTGTTGGTCTGCTCCGTTGTTTTGTAATTCTGGGATCAAATCCAGGCCTCTGTGCTGAGCTACATCCTGGGCCCTTTTCTTTCAGACCGAAATCAGGAGCAAGGTGGGTGACACACCCCTGTAATCCAAGTACTCCCAACTCAGGAAGCTGACACAGGAGGATCACTATGAGTTCAAGGCCATCCTGGGCTACAGAGCAAGAATATTGCCCCCTAAAAGTTACTAAACGGCCCACACTAGGTTTGAGTTTTTCTAATCTTCCAGCCTTGGCCACCCAGAGGGCTAAGGTTATGGGTGTAAAACAACACACCTGTCTTTGACTTTTGTTGGGTTTTTCTTAACCACACTGCATGTTAGGCGAGCAACCCGGGACAAAGCCTACTACTGAGAGGCTCCCATTAAGGACTCAGCACTCCAGAGTATGGCGCTGAGGCCAGAGACCTTGGGGCCCCTGCATCCCACTTCTTTAGAGCCTTGTCCTTCTCCTTTCCCACTCCTCCCACCAGGTTTTTAGGGTTTTGTTTGTCTTTTTGAGACAGGGTCTGACTGTGCAGTTCAGGCTGGCCTTAAACTCACTTTGTTACCCTGGCTGGCCTCCAACTCTCAATGATCCTCCTGCCTCTGCCTCCTGTGTGCTGAGATTACAGGTGTGCACCACCAAGCCTGGCTCCCCACTTGTTTTGTAGCCCTGGGATGGCAGAGCTGGTCCTGTACTACTCCCTGCTAGATCTACAGAATCTAGCAGAGTACAAAGGTACAGAGTGGACACCTCCCTTGAACTAAGAGCTCTGGTGGTTGTTTTGCTATTTTGTTTTGCTTTGTTGGTACCAGGAATTGAACTCAGGACCTTGTGCTTGCCAGGCAGGCACTGTGCCACTGAGCTATAACCCCAGTCAGTTTTGTTTTTGAGACACGGTATTGCTGCATATGCCAAGCTGGCTCAAGCTCACTGTAATCACCCAGCCTCAGCCTCCAGCAAAGCAGAGCAATCAATGTTAGGTCCCAAGCAAAGGCACACTCACCCTGCAGCTTGGCACCTCAAGGCGATCTTCCTAGACACAAGAACACTGGGCGCAGGGTCCCCAGGGCAGGGGTGCAGGGAGAGGGAAACTCAGTCCCTGAGGCCACCAGAGGGGACAGGGCTGAGCCTCTGGCAGAAGGCGTGTTTAACATAAGCCATCTCAGACACTTACTCAATATGGAATTCTGGGTTTTGAAGACAGTTCTTCTCAGACCCAGCCTCATGGTCCCACCAAGATCACCAGGGTTGTGTTCTGGCATATCAATCACCTTGGGAAAGAAAACAGTCCAGGTTTACCACCTTAAAAGCAAGAGAACTGCTCATATTTCAAGCTTTGCTTTCGTTGGTGTTGAAACAGGGTCTCATTATGCAGCAGAGCCTGACCTCAAACTCACAGCGATCCTCCTGCCTCGGCCTCCCCACTGTTTGGCTGATAGGCCCCAAGCTCGCACTTTTGCTAAGATGCTCTTAGAAGAGCTCAGCTGGGTTAGCCCACCACACGGCCACCGCCAGCCTCGCCTTTTTCCCCCATGCTGAGCACCTCGAGACACACACGGAATTTCCTGAGCTAAGGGCTTCTGAGAAAATGTCCCATCTTATCAGCTTGGGCATTTAGAGCATCTGAACCCTGTGTCCCCAGTCAGCCACAGGAGTGGCTGAGGGGAGGGGGACTGGGTTTCCTGGGTCACAGGTACAGCAGCTGCACATCTGTCCCCTCCACCACTGGTTGCAGCTGGATTACTACGGGGAGATGACACAGGGCCCTGGCCGCCCAACCTTCTGCTGACATCGTCGGTGATGGCAGAGAGGACCATGGCAGCGGCTCCAGCGTGGCCAGGGCCACAAGTGCAGGGAAGTTCAGGTTCTGACACCCTGGAGCAGGGAGGCCTTGTAGTACCTGTGTTTAAGACATGGTCTTGGTGTGTAGTTCAGAGCTAGCCTAAAACTCACTGAGCAGCCAGGCCGGCTTCAACCCCCTTGCAATCCTCCTGCCTCAGCCTCCTAAGTGCTGGGATCCCAGGGACACACACCACAGCCAGCTCCCATAGTATGCTTCTTTTTAGCTTTTATTAGTCCAAGTTTGCAGCACGAATACACTCATCATAGGGAGTTGTTCCGTGTACACGACACACCTTCATTCTTTTCATATATTCTCCCCCTCATACAATAGAGCTCTGCTCTGCCCTGAGGAAGGATAAACCGGAGTCATCTGCAGGCAAATGGGCGCACCCTGAGAGCACAACGTTCTGTGAAGAAAATCTGATGCACAACCTTAAATATCGCATGGTCTCGCTTGCAGGAGAAAGCCGAATCAGTAAGTAAAATCTAGGTAACAGGGAGCAGAGATCCAGACCATTGCCATGGGAAGAGGGTCCACAGCATTAGCTTACCGAACATACAAGCTGAAGACCCTACTGAAGGGAGTTAGGGCAGCCCAAACTACACAGGGAGACCCTGCCTCGAAACAGAAACAGCAACAAAAATGACAGCTTTTGGTCTCTCAGACCAAAACTGACTCAGCAACCAAAAACCAGAAGAGCTGTGTTCCTAGACTCGCTGACACACAGAGCCTGAGAGATGGGAGCACAGCTGTGCCTACAGGCCCCTTCTGCAGTGTGGCTGGCCAAGCAGAGGAGCCCCCCAGCATGATGCTCCCCAACACCCTGCGAGCCCCTAGACTTGACATGGAAAAGGGAAATGCCCATTGCACCACAACAGACTGTGTTGGCCACTCATCTGTCCAAAATCCTGGATGTCACCTGATGCCCATATCTACCTTTCCTTTTCTGGTGTTTGTGAGTTAGGATAGTAACCCAGACTGGCCCTGAACGCCCAGCAATCTTCCTGCCTCTGCCTCCCAAGTGCTGGGATCACACGCGTGCACCTTTACACCTGGCTGTTTTTTGAAACTCAGGCATATAGAGTAAGAAAATTTAAAAGGATCAATAAAGCTCTAGGAGATGTAAAGGCATACACAAAGGGGAGGCACGGCACTAACCTCCAATGATGCTCCCTGCAGCCCACAGCAAGAATGCAAAGTGGGTCAGCAGACCAGAGCCCGTCCTGGATGGCACTCAAGTGTTAGCCATCACGGCCGGGCACATGTGAGTTACTCATGGGCTACAGCCAAGGCTTCCTCCCTCGGCCTCACAGATCCTAGGCAGGATGCTCCCTCCTGTCTCACCACATCCCAGTACTGGAACCAAAGAACCTAGAACCTTACTGGCATACAGCTTTGCAGATGTGACTGAGGCTGAGTGTGTGTGTGTGTGTGTGTGTGTGTGTGCGCGTGCACACACGTGCATGTGGTATGGGAACTGAAAACATTGCCTTCCCACTGAGCTACACTCTCAGCCCTTTTTCTTTTTCATATATATATATATATATATATATATATATATATATATATATATTTTTTTTTTTTTTAACTTTAAAACAGTCTTGTTAGCTCGGTGGTCTAAGTACCTGCCTGGCAAGCATGAGGAGCCGGGTTCAATTCCCAGTACCACATGCCATTCCTGCCCCAGAACCCTGGGCAGGGTGATGCATGCCTGTAATCCCAGCACTGGAGAGGCTGAAACAGGAGGATCACTACAAGTCTGAACTCTGTAGCAAGACCTTGTACCAAATAAATAAGCAAATAAATAAATGATTTTAAAAAAAAGACAAATCTGCCCTGAAGGCATTCAGAGCCAAAAAAAAAAAAAGAATAACAAAGTCTTGTTAAGTTATCCAGGCTGGGCTTGAACTTGGATCCTTGGGCCTCAGCCTTCCAGAACAGAGTTACAGGCATGTACCAATTTAAAGGTCTTGCTGTGTCATAATACAGTAGAGGCATCACATGGTCTCAGGACAAGAAGGCACACTCATCCCTTATGGGGAGCATAACCCATTCCAGAAGAGCACCCCAGGACCCAAGGGTAATAATCCCTGTAACCTCCCTGGCCACAGTGGGCCAGGACCAGAGGAGACTGAATGACGAGGGCACAAAAGGAGGGGTCCTAGGGCAATACTGCACCTATGGGACAAAGAAAACACTCAGTGAACAGGGCCTGGAAGCCCCGGAACCCAGCTACCAAGACAGAGCCCCAGAGGCCTAGAGGTCGAAAGACAGCACAAGCCAAACACTGGAAGGAGCAAGAAAGCAAACTGCCGGAGACTCCAGGGAGCCAGGCACCAGTACAGGGGGCAGGTAAGCTGTCCTTTGTCACGATGTTTGCAATTCGGCCTGCAGGATCTTTCTGAAATTTCCACACCTATGATCCCAGCACTCAGGAGGCTGAGGAAGGACAATCATTGCAAGTTCGAGACCAGCCTGGGCTATAAAGTGAGGTCAAGGCCAGCCTGAACTGCACAGCAAGACTCTATCTCAAAAAGACACACAAAAAAAGAAAGAAAATACCTTACTCTTGGTTTTCCTAGGAAAAAAAAAAATCAAGTCTGTCCAAAGATCAGGCAATTGAACCTCAAGGCAGTCAGTAACCTTTGCCTCTCCATTTTTCCATGAGCAACCTGTACCTGCTGTGCGGCCCCTCTCCCGTTTCACAACGCACTCTGGGACCACGCCCGGCATTTATCGCAGGCCTGCGTACAGTTTGGGTTAATGTTTCATGACAATATCTATTAGTGCATTCTGTATTTGGAGTCTGTGGGGAAGAAGAAAAAACAACCTCAAGAGACATGGCTGAGGACATGTGCAAGCTATTTGCAGAGTTCCGGCGGCACTGGCTCTGGTTCCGACTTCTGCTGCATAGCCAGGCCCATCTCATCCCGGGGTTTCCCTTGAAATGAGACCAGAAACCTGAACAGCTCTTCTGTTTTATTTTGGTTTTCAAGACAGGGTCTTGCTGTGTAGTCCACACTGGCCTTGTACTGCAGACTACTGGGATGACAGGCATGCGCCTCCACACCCTGATTGTAGGTGAAAAAGCTCTTATCCAGTACTGCACTAAAAATGCTGCTTAGAAAGTATATATGTTACATGCACCATATGCGTTGTGCAAGGTCGGTGTGTTTATATCAGACATGTTACCTGCCCTATGATCTATGGGTATTAAAGTCATCCCTTCGATATAGACACAAGAACTATGACAACCTACCCAACAGTTTTTGGCTCACAGGTGATAATTTGAGAGAACTGGTGAGTTAAGATGCTACTTCAGTCAGACGTGGTAGCGCAGGCTTATCATCCCTGTATTCAGGGGGCTGAGGCAGGAGGATCGCCATAAATGAAAGGCCAGCCTTGTCTACATAGTGAGTTCAAGGCCAGCCAGAACTACATAGAGAGACACTACCTCAAAAAAGGAAAGAAATAATAATTCTATTGAAGCAACCGGGGAGATACGAATTGAGCTGCGATGATGGCTTTCTGATTATGCAAGAGAATGTCCTCTCCATAGGAGACACATGGCAGCACTTGGAGCTGGGGGTAGCACCCAGGTGCCCTACAACTGATTTTCATGTGCTCCAGAGAGACAGGAAGTAAAGATGGAAACATTAGCTCTCAGTTAAAGTAGTGAAGCGTTGGATGGCTGATCTCTGTACTATTCTTGCCACTTTTCTGTAGACTGGATTTTTTTTTGTATTTTAGGGAAGGGTCTACAGGGTGTTCAGGGTCTCACTACTAGATCAGACATCAGACTCGTAGTGATCTGCCTGTTTACAGCCTCCCAAGAGCTGGGATTACAGGCGTGCACAACCACGCCCAGTCTCAAACACCATCTCAGTGCACCCTGGGAATGGAGCCGGCACAGCAGGCCTGGGAATCGAACCCCCGGCCCCTGCTTGCAAGTGGTTTAATCCACTGAGCTATTTGGCTGGCCCAATTTTAATTTTTTTTTTTACACTTGAAATATTTTTAACGACACTGAGGAAAAAGACAGTTCTCACTATAATTAGTCACAAAAGCCCACTTCCTCCCAGGAGAACAGAGCCTACACATAAAAGCACCGGAAATTCTCTGGAAGCTTGATTAAAAAGCACTGCCAGAATCAGAAGACGTTTGAGTAAAATTTCACAGCTAAAACTGAAGGGCCTGTCTTAGCCCTGGCCTGCATGTTGCTCCGTCTTCTACACTGGTCACCCCACCGCCACTTTTTCTGAGTCCAAACACTGACAACCCGTACAAGACTGCACAGCACCAGCAGGGTGCTCTTGAGTAGCTCCAGAAGGGTCCTGTTGCCCTGCAGTATAAATAAATTCTTAGAAATTTAGAGCTTCAAATCCTCAGAGAGGAAGACAGCATAACCGGGCAAGCTTTGGCTTAGAGATGATCTACATGTGGAAGTAGAAAAAGGTTTCAAAGCTGTTTGGAGCTGTCCAATTTGGTGTGGAACTCCTTCATGTGAATCAGCACTAGACCCATGTCCCCTGGAAATGTCCTAGTTATTGGGGGGGGGGCTCTTTTGGTTTTTTGAAACAGGGTCTTGAACTTCCTCTGTAGCTCAGGCTGGTCTAGAAACCAAAGGGCTCTTCCTGCCTCAGCCTCCTGAGTGCTGCAATTACAGGTGTGCATCACCACTCCTGGCTATGCTAGTTATTTCATGAAACTCTTGCCAATGGAGCTCAACTTTTTTTGGTATTTTTTTCTGTATTTTAGGGAAGGGTCTACAGGGTGTTCAGGGTCTCACTACTAGATAAGACTTGCAGTGATCCGCCTGTTTACAGCCTCCCAAGAGCTGGGATTACAGGTCCACGTCACCATGCCCAGTCTCAACTGACATCTCAGCACACCCTGGGGGTGGGGCCAGCATGGCAGGCCCAGGATCAAACCCTGGGTCCCTGCGCCTGCTTGCAGGTGCTTTAATCTTTTGAGCCATTTGGCCAGCCCAAGAAGCTCAATTTTGTCTCCAAGTTTAAATCCTGACAATTCCAAAAAGTTGGAAGCATTTGCAATTATATGAGCATAAGCCAAGTGTTTCCCTAATTTCTTTTTAAATGCTTCACAAAATATATTGGGTATGAAAAAGGATAATGTGAGCCAGGCATGGTGGTACACACCTGTAAACCCAACCCATGGGAAGCTAAGGCAGGTGGATCGCTGGGAATTTGAGGCCAGCCTAGGGTACATAGCGAGTACAATGCCAGCCCAAACTGTACAAGAAGACCCTGCCTCAAAAAAAAAAAAGCATAAGAAAAGGAGACATAGAACAAATAACAAAAATGTTGAAAAATGACAAGCAAATCAACCAAATTAGTAATCTTGCATTGCCAAATAAAGCCCCCACTGATTGTGCGTGCGTGTGTGTGTGTGTGTGTTTCCTATGCATGTCTCATGCCTCTGTCTGAAGCAATCCTTCCATTCACTCATGCCAGCGCTCAACCCCTCACAGAGTAGGACTTCAAGGGCCAGACTGTCACTGAGAAAGCTGTGTCTTATTGTCCTTCTGTGATAATATTTTCTCTGGATATGAAGAAAGCTCATTTTTCAAGCCTAAATATGCAACTAAATATGAGTTGAAAGTAATCCTGCACAAGTAGCTAAGTGCAAAATGTGAACTGCAAGCAGATATTCTGGCTCTGCCCCAGAGGGACAGTACACTCTGGGGCACACACGTACAGACCTGCTCCCAGGACTCTGGACCATGAACACCTGAGAGCGGCCCGCCAGTGGATCTTGCCCTTCATTAAGAGGTTCATGCAGTCTTAAGCCTGGGTTTCAGAAACAATTAATAATTACCCTTAAGCGGCAAACAAAAGGAAAATCTCCTAATCAGGGTGGTGTGTCTGGGGCCTATAAAAGCACTCAGTCCTCACTGTGGCTCAAGCGTCTGCTGACTCCCAGAGCTGTGCTGTCACCGAGCAGGTCAGTATGGTCTGCAGGGCGTGAGCTTGCTAGGCCAGCACCCCACCATTGAGCTTCATCCCAGCCCCACAAGAATTCTCTTTAAAACACTTCGGAAAATCCAGCGCCACTGTACCCAATGCTCTGTCCTCTTCCTCTTCTTCCTCCCTTTTTCCTCCTCCTCTTCCTCCTCCTCCTCCTCCTCCTGCCTTTTTCCCTCTCTCTGCATCTTTGCCAGGGGAGAGGCCTGCAGGCCACTGCCAACACTCAGCGGACACTGCACAGGAGCCTTTGGTGAAGCTCACGTTGCTCTGTTTGCAGGACATCACTATGGCTGCTAAAAAGTCTCCCGAGGAGCTCAAGAGCATTTTTGAAAAATATGCAGCCAAAGAAGGTGACCCAGACCAGCTGTCGAAGGAGGAGCTGAAGCTGCTGGTCCAAGCAGAGTTCCCCAGTTTGCTCAAGGTGAGCATTGTGGCCAGTGGGAGGGCAAGGGACAGCAGGGCTCTACCATCTGTGACACTCTCAGCCCTCAAGAGTGGTGGGGCCCAGCCTTCTGCCCCCTCCCCACCTCTCCAGGCAGAGGTACAGCAAGCAGAAGTGGGGAGGGTCCTGCACTCCCCAAACACTATGATCCCAGCACTCAAGAGGCTGAGGCAGGAGGATCACCACAAGTTTGAGGACAGCCTGGGCTACATAGTGAGTTCAAGGTCAGCTTGGACTCAAAAAGAAAAATATCAGGTAGTACGGTCTTGATTTCATTTCCTTTGTCACTCCCTTTCTCTCTGAAACTAGGGTCCAAGCACCTTAGATGACCTCTTCAAAGAATTGGACAAGAATGGTGATGGAGAAGTCAGTTTTGAAGAATTCCAAGTGTTTGTCAAAAAGCTATCCCATTAAAGAAGGGCATGCAAAGCAGAAGGCCAGGACTCCAGCCTGTGTGGAAACCATGGTGCCCTGGAATGACTTCTTCACAACTGCATGACCTGGCCCAGTTACTAGCAATAAAGGACTTTCCACACTGCTGCCTTTGTTGAGTACTGACTGTCAGAATTCAGTGCATTCCAGAGGAGGGGAAGGGGATGCGAAAAGAATATAGAGGTGTCGCCAGGAATGGTGGGGCAGGCTTGTCGTTCCTGCACTTGGGAGGCTGAGGCAACAGGATCACTGTGAGTTTGAGGCCAGCCTCGAATATATAGCAATATGTTGTCTCAAAAAAAGTAGATACAGGGGGCCTGCCCCTTAGCTCAGTTCTGTAAGTGGCTGCTTCAATAAAGCAGTCAGGCTCAGGTTGCTGTGGTTCCATCCCCACAACTCAAGCCAGCCAAACCCGCCCTGAAGGCATTCTAAGCCAGCCAGGAAAAAGAAAATCCTTCAAAAAAAGTAGATGCAGAGATAGAGATAGAGATAATGTTACTTACATCAGACCGGCTACCCATAGTGAACATATCTGCATTGTTTGTTTGTTTTGGTTTTTTGAGACAAGACTACTCACTACAAAGTCCAGGCTGGCCATGAATTTCTGGTGATCCTCCTGTCTCAGCCTACTGTGTGCCAGGACTAAGAGATGTACCTTGGGCAGGTGTGGTAATACACACCTGTAATCCCAGCCAGCATGCGGAAGGCTGAGGCGGGAGGATCCCTGCCAAGTTCAAGTCCAGCCTGGGCTACAAAGTGAGCTCAAGGCCAGCCTGAAGTGCACAGAGAGACTGTCACAAAAACAAACAAAAAAGAGGCATGCAACCATGCCCGGCTTCTCATGATGAATGCTCAATTATGTACTACAAACATGGACTCATAAAATGAAACACTAAAAGACTAAACTTATATTAGTCTAAGTCATCTAATTTCAAGATTTAAAAAGTGGAACTATGGTGTAATGCAGTAGTAGGGCACTTGCCTCACATGCATGAATGTATGAGGCTCTGGGTTCCATCCATCCCCAGCACTGCAAAAACCAAAAGGAAAAGGAAAGAAAGGAAGAAAAAGAAATCTCGGTGTGGAGCCCTATGTTTATAATCCCCGCACTCTGGGAAGCCGAGGCAGGATAATCATAAATTACATTCCAGAATGGGCAAGCTAGGGTATTGTGGCTTTCCTTCCCCTCCTCTTCCTTCCTTTCCTCCTCCTCCTCCTCCTCTTCCTCTTCCTCCTCCTTCTCCTCCTCCCCACCCAAGATCACTCTACAAAGCCAGTTCCTCCCTTACTCTTCACTTTTATTTCTTCAAATAAACTTTCCTACCATTAAAATAATGGGAAAGTTAGCAATTTAGCAAGACCCTGTGTCAAAAAAAAATGTTGTTGTTTTTTAAGACAGAATCTTGCTATTTAGTTCAAGCTGGCCTTGAACTCACTATGTAGCCCAGGATGGTCTTAAACTCACAGAAATCCTCCAGCTTCAGCCTCCCAAGTGCTGGGATTATAGGTGTGCTCCACCATGCCCAGCTTCCTGTCCTAACTATACACACAAGCTGGGCCAGTCCATCAAGTTGGTGTCATCATTTCCCAGGAGCCTGGAGGCCCTCTGACATGGCCGGCAGCACACGTGTTCACACTGACACCCAGATCAGGGACGGTGGCTGTCCAGCCGGAAAAGGAGCCTCTCCCCACACCAGACAGGGCCACAGTCACCTCTGGCGAGCTCAACCTCAGAGACATGGGAGTTCTGCTTGCTGTAAGGACCTGGGAAGTCAGACTGGGCCAGGCACAAGACGAGCAAGTAACAAGGACTTGGAGGCAGAGGAAAGACATATACTTCAATTTGCTGAAATACGCAGGGAAGAGGAATCTGTAAGTTCACACCAGAAACTAACAGCAGCGGTGTCAGGACACAGCCAGGCAGTTGGAGGTAGGGAAGGGAGAGCCACGTCTCACTGGATGGCTCAGCGGACATTTGGGCTTTTCGACTATACAAATGTGTGTCCTACAACAGAGAACAAATGACCAGCCAGGCGTGGTGGTGTGCTCCTAGAACCCCAGCCCTCTGGAGACTGTAGCAGGAGGGCTGTCGTGAGCTGGAGGCCAGCTTGGGCTACACAGGAAGCTCAGAGCCAGTCAGAACTGCATAGAAGGACCCTGTCTCCAAAAGCAAGTCTCTTTCCAGTTGGTCATGAGACTGTGAGCACCAGGCTCTGGGTACAATAGGCTGTCTATTGAGTCGACAACAATATGGGGCTCCTTTTATCCAATCAATGAAATGTGTTAATTGGTTTAATTCCCAGGATAACACTATCCAGCCATGATCAATTATCCTTTAACATTGTTAAATGGGACATTCTAATACTTTAAGACGGTCCCAGCTTCCTTTTAAACATCATCAGTTGGAGTCGTGTGTGCTAAGGTTCGTATGCAGCTCATCCTAACATCCCAATTCAGCCCCTTCCCAAGTAAACACACACTATTTCAGCTCCAACATGCACAAGGCACCTTTTGCGGGCTAGGCACTAAGCAAGAGCATAAGACACCAACTTCAACATCTCTGACACGGCCAGCCAGCAAGTTTGGAATCAAACCCAAAAAACGGTTAATGGGAAAAGCAGCATTTCTACCTGGAAGGTATGCAGGGCAGTGGCTGTACTCCGGAGGCTAAGGGGAGGCTGAGGCAAGATCCCTGCAAGTTTGAGGCCAGCCTGGGCTATAGAGCAAGACCCTATCTCAAAAAAACAAAACATAACAAAAGAGAAGAGCTGGGCTTGGTGACACCCTGCAGAAGGATCATGCAAGTTCAAGGGCAGCCTGAGCTACACAGTGAAACTCTGTCTCAAAAAAAAAAAAAATGCCTGCTTAGGCAAGCCAGGGACCGAGTTCGACCCCTGGCACCAAAGGCCACGCCGGCCCCACTCCCAGGCACCCTGAGCCGACCACCGAGTCCAGGCACGGTGGCACGAGCTTGTAATCCCAGCACTGGGGAGGCTGAAAACAGGAGGATCACTACAAGTCTGAGCTGCATAGTGAGACCCTGTACCAAATACATTTTTTTATAAAAGATACCAGCATTTTATCATTTCAAAAAAAAAAAAAAGAACCATAACCTGGCAACAATGAGAAGAAAAAAGAACCATTACACACTTTAGGAGAAAAAGTAAAGTAGCACAGCCACAATAGAAAACAGTACAGCAGTTCCTTGAAAAATGACCAGAACTTCCAGGTAACCCAGCTCCAGCCCTGTTAGGTGCACAGCCCTAGGAAGCACAGGGCGCATGTGCAGGGCCCCCTCCTGCCCTCGGCAACCTCGTGCAGTGCAGGGCACCTGGGACTGAGAAACAGCAGCAAAACCAGGTAATGCACACTGGCTGAGGGGGTCAGGCATGTGCGGAACTGAAGGCGCTGCATGTATCATGGATTCTAGCTAGATGTCCCCAAAACCCCTGCACTCACAGGGGTGGCTGGACCTGGCCCTTGGGTGTGACACTCCTCAATAGATTGACCAATGATGAGCCAGAGCCAGTGGGGAGTAGGGTGGAGCCTGGTGGGAGGAGAGGCCACTGGGGGCGTGGCCTGGAAAAGGCCCCTCCCATCTCCCCAGAACTGTCCCTGTTTCCCTTCTGCAATCTCCAGAGGTCTGTCCCATTCCCAGGCCACCCTGCCTTGGAGACAGCAGACTGCACTCAGACCACTACAAACTGAGTCAAGTGGACCTCTCTTTCTTAGAGTTGTGGGCGTCAGATATTGTGTCTCCGTGAAGAGAACGTGACTACGACAACATGTTTTCTCTCATGTGTGGAAACAAAAGAAGAAAAGTAGCAAGCAGAGCTGTGCCGGGAGTGCACTTACACTGCACACCACACAGGACTCTGACAAGGGCTGGCTTTGAAAATAAGACAGCATCTCCCCACTAACATTCAATCATCTCTCCTGCAGAAAATCTTTCAAGTGCTTGAAATACCTATTTCTGAGGCATTTCTCATTGAACTCAAGGTACAAAATCTTTTAAAATCCATTAGCTTATTATAGGTGTGTTAACTCAGCAAAATATTCTAAAAGAGTCCAGTAGCCCATAATAGTATTGGGTCTTCCGCTTGACTGGCAATGTCAGAAATTGTAGACCCGAGTCCCCTACAGCTCAAAATAACAGCATGGCTTTACTTCTTATATTTCGTTTTTATACTTTTCTGCTGGATGGTTAAGACCAAGGTAAAGCAAGACCTATGCAACAAAAGTTATAGCTTTTGGATCTGATAAGGTGACGGAACTAAATAAAAAAGGGGATACAGATGAATGTCCATTTTGTATCTGTGCATTCAAAATGGTTAGGATATATAGTTACATTCTCTTAATGAATAGAGGGATTTGTTGTAATAGTGTTTGTAAATAGGATACCATGTCTGCATCTTGTACAGCAATGTGTTAATTATTGAAACTGTCATACCAATTTGATTTGAAACTGTCAAAAATAAAATAAAATACATTAGCTTTAGCTGGGCATGCCTGTAACCCCAGCACTCAGGAGGCTGAGGCAGAAGGATCACCGTGAGTTCAAGGCCAGCCTGGGCAACATAATGATCTCAAGGCCAGCTTGAACAACATAATGAAACCTTGACTCAAAAAGCCAAATAAGCCCATATGTACATACATTAGCTGTGAAGTACGCATGTAATGACTCACTTACTATTAGCAGTCTGACCCTCCTCCTGACTCAGGATTCCTAATGGACCCACTCCAAGCTGTGTGGTCTCCATTCAAGGGGCAGAAATGGTTAAAGAGACAGCGGTGGAGGGTAGGCTGTGATGCCCTGAGCCATCGGGCAGGAAGGAGAACATGAGCGGGCATTCTGAAGTTCCATTACTAGACAGGCAATGGTGGTGCACATGTGTGATCCCAGCACTGAGAAGCGGAGGTCGGAGGATCACTTTTACTGCCAGGGCCAGCCTGGGCTACACAATGGATTCAAGGCCAGCCTGAACTACATGGTGAGAACCTGTCTCAAACAAACCAAGCATCAAACAAAACAACAAGCTCCATTAAGAAATAACTGGCAATAGGGCCAGGGAGATGGCTCAGTGGAATAAGTGTTTCCCTAGCAAGCACAAGGGCCTGAGTTCAATCCGTGGTTCCACCAAAAAAAAAAA